CGGTAAAGTCAACATTTTCTTTTGCAAAATCCAATGGCAAAATTGTAGGTGAGGAATTGTCTTGCAGCAGTAAGGCTCGAACGCTTTGTATGTGATACGGGATTTCAGACCGGACCAAACTAATTTATGATTCACATTAAGATTTGCAGCGATCTTCCTAATACTAGTATTTGGGTCTTATTCAATTTCGTTAGAATAGCTTCTTCCAACTCAGGCATTCTAACACTTTAAGGTCTTCTAAGAATTGGAACTTCTGAAGCGAGCCTGACTGCGAAAGACGTTGAAAAACATTTCTGAACATTCTTGGATTTGGAGTTGGATGATTTGGAAATCTTTCCATATTAATTCGCCTAGTCTCAGAATTTCCATCTGCAAGGTCATAAATGTAAACCATATTGACCATTGCAGTATTTAAATATACATAAGCCATTATTAAAACTTAAGCTTTTTAAAAAATAAACTTAATTTGACAATAGATTAAATAAGACGACGGCTTCTTATTATTATTCTTTTGCATGCATGGCCTTCCTAAGATATGTTTAAGTAGGTAATTTAAGTAACTCTGTAAAAATGCACTTATTCAATTAAATCAACTTTGTTGATCGGTTTGGAATACAAAAAGGTGTAAAGAAACAAAAATTGAAGATAATACAATGGCGCATATGATGACCTGCAGTGACGGCAAATTAAATAGAAACGATAGCAAACAATAGTTTAATCATTTCTACACAGCAAAAAAAAAGACGGGCAAAAATTTACACGAAATTTATTCTATTTTTGATCCAGGAAAGTCCGTACGGAGAAGGAGTAAAATTTACCCCAATACAATTTGGCAAACTTTACAAAAACACAACGTTTTTGTAGAATATACTTGCGGCAGTGTAGATCTAGTTTAAACGAGTTACTATATGTATGTAGTGTAAATTTTAAAATATTAATCTTATAAACCACACTAGTTAGTTTTAATTTTAATCAAAATTTACACTGTATGGTGTAATTGATACAGAATAATACTAACATCGGATAACCTTAGACATCACATTTAAAATAACAATACACAAAATAGTAAAAAAAGTTTTTTACACAATTTCAGACATATACAGTCTGTTACAAATTCGCTTCTCACTACAGGGATCTCGGAAACGGTAAGAGGTACGAAGTAGCTTAAATGGGGGCAAAGTTGCGTAATCGGGGGACCAACAATATGCCTCTAAAAAATCGAGGCTGACATGATTAGTTTTCGAAATATTTGAAAGAAACCGAAATTTTGGAAATCAGTTTTTGTTTCTTTTCAGCCTTGTTTGAGGCGATATTGAAAAAAGAACAACACTTTCTCATGGCCACTTTTTGCCCTCTATCGAATGGCATAATCAATTTTTGTATGTAACGTATCGTCTTTCCAGGACCATCATCAACTTCATTTTTTTTAAATACGACCCTAGACATTTTATTACATTTTTTGCAAGCCTTCATGACCCCCCATACTGTACTACCTCAGCCCGAACCAGATTCAGACGTTTTGTCTCGAAAAATTTTGTTTATTGAATTATCGTACATCGTAAGTGTCGTTAGACCCTGTGAAATCCATCTAGTTTTTTAAACTATTACCACCACGCGTTACAATAAAACACTAGATGGATTTGACAGGATCTAACGACACTTACAGTGTACGATAATTCAATAAACAAAGAAATCTAAATAAAAAATTTAGATAAATTTGGAACGAATACACTGAAGATGATTTTTTCGGGACAAAACGTCTGAATCTGGTTAGGGCTGAGGCAGTACAGTATTGGGCGCCAAGAAGGCTTGCAAAAAATGTAATAAAATTTCCAGGGTCGTATTTAAAAAAATGAAGTTAATGATGATCCTGGAGAGACGAAACGTTACATATAAAAATTGATTATGCCATTCGATAGAGGGCAAAAAGTGGCCATGAGAAAGTGTTCTTCGTTTTTCAATATCTCCTTAAACAAGGATGAAATTAAACAAAAACGGATTTCCAAAATTTCGTTTTTTTTTAATATTTCGAAAACTAATCATGTTAGCCTTGATTTTTTAGAGGCATATTGTTAGTCCCCTAATTACGCAACTTTGCCCCCATTTAAGCTACTTCGTATCTCTTACCGTTTCCGAGATCCCTGTAGTGAGAAGCGAATTTGTAACAGCCTGTATACCTATTATTAAAATTTATTGTTATTAAATTTGATGGGAATGTATTATGAATTAATTACTATGTAGATATAAGGAACTGAACACTGGGCAATATTTAATATTATGAATAATCGTTGAAATTTAAACCAGTATTGTGTATATTTAGCTACAATTTTGTAAACAATTACTATACATGGTGTGGTGGTAGGAGAGTACTGTTCCGCAAAATTTGAAAATTTGGCAACATGGCAATGTGCCTGGGGCGAACACAACTAAGACATCTAGAACTCTCCAGCACTTCCAGTTATACCGGAAGTGGACGCCAACTTCGTTATTTTAAATGGGACACCCTATATATTATTGTATTTTCGGATTCTACGTGAAATTTGAGGGTCACTTTATTAAATATTCCCTATACCTAGAAGTTATAGAATTTGAGATATTCATATTTTTCGGGGCAGTACTATCCTAGATATCGATCGACGCAGGATGGCATCAGGTATACCTACTATACAATGGTTCAGTGGACCGCGATGTCCACCAAATTTAGGCATAGAACAGGATAATGACGAATGAGATGATTTACTAACTTATGATGACTTTAGTGATGAAGACTAAATATTTTTTAAATTTTTATATTTTTGTTACTTTTATTATAATATTTTATTTTAGGTTATAATATTTTTATTAAATTATTTTCATATTTTTTATTTCAGAGTGTATAATGTTTAGTTTTCTTATTAGATAATGAATGTTAAGTTTCAATAAAATATGTGTTTGTTTATATTTATTTTCATACAAATCTATTTACAGAGCCACTTAACATGCGTCCAATGTATTAAATCGAATAATATATCGTTCTCCGTCCGCTGCGCGTTTGCGAGCCTCAACTCATTTCGCTTGCACTCACAGACCGCTGCTACGATGTTCACGGCGGAACCTATTATTAGCTGTAATTAAAAAACGCTACCGACTTTATTGTCTGCCATTTCACTTTTGTGGTCAAATTGTATTCCTACAGCCGAATTTCATAGTCTGCAGGTGGTATAAGTCAAGGAGTTTTTGAAAAAAAAAAACAAATTTGAGCAGCCGCCTTCAGCCAAACGCTGCCGGTTTGCAACGGCATACGTAGCGATATTTGTTCATATTTGTTCACTTTAAACCATATTTCAACATTAATGTGCTTATCCTTTGCTTATCCTTTGGTACAAATAATGAGAAAGCTCTTAGCTTAGCTATACCTACTACCATCGAATTTCTTTGATTCCATTTTTACGCACAGGAAAATATTGATACAAACCATTATATAAATGACAAATTAACTAATTCTGTAATATTTACTTATACTGCGATTCACTCTGTAAACACTCTTGTTTACTAGTCATGCTACCTATATGGTGTCATGCGCAAATGCCGGTAGCGGTCAGGAATGGAAAGGGTTTAACCGTTTAAAATTTAAACTACATTTGGTAAATTGCCTATAAGTAAATTTCACCAAATAATTGAAATTCTGATTTTTGCCATTTAAGGTTTTTGTAAATATTTTTTACCCTTTCAACATTTTTACAAACAGAAGGTGTAAAATTTTACACCAATTTATTTTACTAATTCCAAAATATTTGCATGTAAATTGTATTTCTCACTGTGTATTGTATAATTTATAGAAGAAATTTCAAAAACTCTTTCAATGTTACTATTATTAGAGTGTATTTGTTTACTTTTTATAAAATAGTTGTACATTTTGAAAAATAGGTCTTATCTTATTTGAAACAACTACATTTTTATACGGCAAACTAATTAGAAACGCTAATAATTAGAATGCTAAATTTAATGTAGTAGGAGTCAAGCAAGTGTTTGTCTGTTTAGCAAAACTGTCAAATAAGGTGACAAATGAACAATTAACAATTATTATTCAGTATTATACTCGTATTTGTGTGAAATGTATGTCATTCATTATTCAGTTGTAATGAAAATGAGAAACAAATTATATTAAACTTACACAGACAAGATTATTCGTATCAGATCATTGCCGACATAGTGAATCGTTCGAAAAAGGCAGTATTTAATGCTATCCAACATTTAAATTTACACGGGACATTTAAAAATATACCTAGGACGCGACGTCCTAAAAAAACTGGTGCAGAAACAGATCGTTGTATTGTTCGTCTTTCTAAAGCAGGCCCTCACAAATCAGTTAACATCTGGAAATAATTTTTTCTAGAAAAGCCAAGAGAATTGTGTGTTCGAAGTGTTCCCAACCGTTTTAATAAAGCACAACTTTTTGGCAGGGTTCTAAGAAAAAAGCCACATGTTTCAGAAATTAATCGAAGAAGTCGTTTGGAATTTGTTGAGGCGTCATCTTGCTTGGATTGTCCAACAATGGAAGCACGTATTATGGTCAGAAGAAAGATTAATGAATTTGGTTCCTACGGAAACGTTTCGTTTGGCGTCCACCAAATAAGGCGTTTGATCCTTGTTATAAAAAAAATAATAATAAAATTCGCAGGTGGTTCCATCATAGTAGGGGCTGCTTTTCTTGGAATGGTGTTAGGCCACTTTACAGAAAAAATAGTACCATGAATCAATGTGAATACATTAACATATTGGAAAATGTCATGCAACCTTACGCATAAGAGAACGTATCAGTACTTTGGAAATTCCAGCATGATAACGATTTAAAGCATTCTGCTAGAAAGGTACTTACCTGGCTTCAGAATAACAACGTGGATGTTTTGGTATGGCCTTCTTGCAGTCCAGACCTTAACCCTATTGAAAATCTGTGGATGATAATAAAAAAGAAGTTCAACTCGAAAACTGTTCAAATTTTTTACTAATTTTTTGACGACATGAAGCGAGCATTGAACGATATTCCAGTAGAGACATGTAAGCGTTTAGTAGTCTCTGCTCAGCAAATGTTTGAAGGTAATTAAAGCAATTGGGTTTCCTACTAAGTATTAGCATTAAGATTTAGAAAAAATGTGTTTAATGTTAAGAATTTATAACTTTAAGAATCATGTTTCCAATAAGTTTGCCGTATAAAAATGTAGTTGTTTCAAATAAGATATAAGATAGTTTTTCAAAATGTACAGCTATGTACACTCTAATAATAGTAACATTGAAACAGTTTTTGAAATTTCTTCTATAAATTACTGTTTACTATTGTTTCCAATTAATTTGCCCTCACTGTATTTTATTTGTATTATACAGAGCGATATATATTTTTTGGCAATTAATGATCGATGATATCCACACCTCCCCCACTGGTAAATTTCTAAAGCTGGTAATTTTTTCATACCTACTGCTATACTAAATATGCACACCGAATTTGGTTAAATTATCTGAAGCTGTTTAGAAATTAAAAATTAAGAACTGATTTTTTTTTTAATTTTTGACACGCTGTAACTGGACAATGGCTGTCTTAAGACCCCACATTTATATAACAAAAAACCCTTATTTTTGGCCACAGAATACGCTCCTGGACCTCTATTTAAGAAACGCCGTGTTTAATATTGTTGTTGATTTTTGACATTTGCAATAAGCATATACAGGCTGTTATGAATTCGCTTCTCACTACGGGGATCTCGAAAACGGTAAGAGATACGAACTAGCTTAAATGGGGGCAAAGTTGCGTAATCACAGGACCAAAACCATGCCTCTAAAAATCAAGGTTAACATGATTAGTTTTCGAATTATTTGAAAAAAAATCCGAAATTTTGGACCTCTACTTAAGAAATATATGAAGAATCAAATATTACTTAAACAAGTTTTTGCAAAGAATGAATATAGAAGACTTTTTATAATGCCATATTATGCTAAATCGGCCTACAAATCTATAATATTTATAGTCCAATTAAATGTGCCTTTAAATCGCAATTTTGGTCAACTTACCTGAATTTTTATATAAGATAGTTTGAGGTATATAATAACAATAAGTGACAGTAATTTTTTTTCAATCCCGGCCAGGAGTGAAAAAAGATAAAATAAAGGGTTTTTTTAAGATAACTTAAATGGGTACGGAGCTAGAAAAAAATGTTTCGTATAAAAGTTGTACAACATAAAATTCTACATAATAATGGTCTATTGACTTTTTCTTGTACTATTAAAATTGACAGAGTTAGTGAGACTATAAGTTAAGGGATGATTTCAGAAATTTGAAAAATCATAAGCAGAAAAATGAATGAATTTTATAATTTTTTTTTCAATCTATTCTAAAAATGTAAACTACCTTTTCAGAAAAATAGATATATTTTTTCATTTTTAATAAAAATTTTATATCAATTTCACAAAGCGAACGTGATTTTTTATCTTTGTCGTAAAACAAAATTTCGAAAGCATCTTTTCATTATTTTAAATAATCAATCGAATGGAATTGTTTTAGTGTTAAATCATAAAAAAAATTGAAATTGTTATAACTTTTTAATTAAAAATTAAAAAATATATCTATTACTCTGAAAAGTTAGTAAGTAGTAATATTTTAACCCTAAAACTATATTTTAGAAATTACGTGGAAATAGAAACGACATTGTAAATTGATTTAACAACTGTAGACGGTTTACCAATTAAGTATTTAACAATGTAAGGAAGGCAGCCTTATGTGGTCGTAAGTGACCGCAATCCACAGATATAACAGTCGCTCACTTTCAATAAGAAATTGGTTTAACTGATGCGTATTCGTGCAAAATGATCCTCTTTTTGTGTTCATTGACGAACATATAATTGATATGAAATGACAAGCAACGCTGATTGCGGTTAGTATTTGGATTTGTGACTATCGACGGAAGGCCTGTATGTCGGTGTATTCACAGAAGCTATGCATATTTAGGCAAGATTTGCATAGAAATAAATAACATCCCTCAAAAAGAATGTGGAGGTTTGTTAAAATTTGCAGGTTGGGGGATGCTCATCTCCTGGCGACGGTGTTTAACCATAGAATACAAACAGGCCGACGCAAAATAACCAAAAAGGAAAAATACTTTATGTGTTGAATAGGAATTTTCCGAAAACGGCCCTGGAAATCGATATTCAAATATTCATTGACTATCACTGATGCATGTATTCTGCCATTCAGTGCTACATTATCTTTGAATTTTTAGTTTTAAAAAAAATCAAAAATCACGCTGAACATTCATAAAGTTTGACTCATTACTTTTTTAAGTGGTCATTTTATGCTTGCCTGGATTATCCCATTCTGACGTACGTTGCAGTACTTAGATGGAACACCCAATACATACCTACCGGCAGAATAATAAATTTTTAATACGATTTAAATTACATTCGTGTAGGATATACAGATTTAATTTATTTGTTCACGTTATATATATAGGTATATGTATGTAAGTGGAAATGGCGTCTATAAATGTGGGCGACCAGACGATAAAAGTACCTAAGATCGCTACATATAAGGAGTTCGATTAATAAAGAAACAACATTAATACAGCTACAGAACGGTTGTTCGCCAAAAAAGTATGAAGGTTATATGTAGGAGTTACGAAAAAATTTAAGAGCCCAACAGTTGAGATAACTGTATTAAATATACACTTCATACATCTAATTCTATCTGAAGTTATTTGTTCCTTACATATTTTAACTTAAACGAAGAGATTTACCAAATCTTGTTTTTTTTGCAGATAAATAAAATTCGCAAACAGTCAGTACTGCATTACTTACATACTTAGTTTGCTTTTAGAAAAACTATCTACTTTTGTTTTTAAAATAAACCGATTTATATCAAATCACGATGAGGATGCGGATGACGATAAGAATTTTGCATGTAAATTGTATTTCTCACTGTGTATTGTATAATTTATAGAAGAAATTTCAAAAACTCTTTNATATTATATATATAACGATGACGAGAACAAGGAGTATGTTGATGGTGATGGTGAGAGTGATGGTGACCGTGGCGATGACGGCGTCAAGATGACTATGACGTGACGATGGCGACAAGATGAGGATAAAGATGAGGATGACGATGACGATGATGATGGCGATGCGGATGAAGATGGCGATGACGATGACGATTACGAGGAGGATGTTGATGTTGATGGTAAGGGTGAGGATGATGGTGAAAACTACAGCATAAAGATGACGATGACGATGATAATGACAACGAGGATGAGGACGAGGACGACGACAATGGCGACGACGGTGACCACGGCGATGATGATGACGAGGACAATAACGGTCACGATGATGATGACGATGGCGATGTTAGTAAAATTAAAAAATATATTATAAATGTAACAGTTATTACCAAAGATAAGAAAAAACTGTTCTTTACATACAAATACATGTTTCTAAACAAGACTATCGAGGACCTCCAATGAGTTACAAGTATCTACATAATATAAAAAAGTAATATGTAATACATATTAGTAAAAAAGAAAAAAGAAAACAGAATATTGTATTATTAAGTAATATTTAAGAAGTAATAAATACTGTAATGAATATAAATTAAATAATATAAAATATCTTAAATACTAATTTTTAGTGTTTAGAAACAGCTGCTTATATGTAGCGTACATCACAGCTTTTTTTGATGTGTTATCCATGACTAATTATTTTTCGCATCTCTGTTCTTCTATGATTCATGTTGGTAGGTCTCACTTATACATGACGCGCGCACAGGTTTAAAGGAAAAAAGTGTTTCGTACCAGTCCGTCTTACTGATAGCCAGCCAGTTCATTTATTTGTGCCGCACCACAGTGGTGGGAAATCCGAAAAAGCTGGACAAAAGTCCAAAAAGGCTTGCATCATCACCAAAAGTGGGGACTTTATGTTTTTCAGGTCGCTAAAACCGAATTTGCAATCAAAAATCTCAAATTCAAGATGGCTGATACAAAATGGCCGATATATCACGTTAATTTATTGAATCTAAATGAAATTTCGAGTACCTCTGGTATTGAAGTCGCGTAAAACGCATGTAAGGTCGCAGTTTGAGGTTTTCGAGGTAATTAATTATTATTAATAAAGTGCGAAAGATAATTAACTGCGATATAAGGCATGTATTTGGGATGAATTCCACATTTCGAGCGAAACAATTTCTAAATACTATTGAAGCTTATTCTTGTTATAAAGCTTATTCTGATTATTTACCTAATTCTAATACACATGAGTCATTCGCATAGTCATCATCTGTCACATAACCGTCAGAGCATGAAAACATTAATCACCATAGCTTCGGTTGAAAAGCTTTTCTCATTTTCATCTATCTTGCACCTTTTTAAAAAATGTTGATCTAAAATTATGATTTGCGTTTCTAAATTCTCTTGGAATTTTCCTTTCAAAAATCGAAAAATATATTTTTTCGTGCACGTAATTTTACTGGTGCCTGATTCTGTCGCAAATGATAAATTATGAATTGAAAGAGCATAGATAATAAGTTCTTTTTTTTTTAAAGCAAGCTTTTAGTGACTTCATTTTATTTTCGTATTGTTCTCAGCAAACCCTTTCATTTGATACCCATATCATGGGGGTGCACAAAAAATAACTGGTCCGCCATCTTTGAGAGTCCGCCATATTGAATAGAATGAATTCACTTAGCTAACCATGCATTGTCATCCAAACTAAACGTGTATGCAAAATTTCAGCTCAATCGGTTAGGGAAACTGTTTTAAAATTCAGTTGCAAGATTTGACCCAAACTAACAATGCAAGTTAAATAAAAACTTGTAAAAATATGATAAATAGCAAACGAAAAAGGTGTAAGTTCATAAAAAAAGAACAAATTGAATTAGAAACGCTCGTTTGGAACGCGAAGAGACACTAAAACCTAAACCGGCCGTACATGGAGGCACAAAATATGAGTCAGAACCCGGATCCGGATAAATCCGGTAGATTTCTCTTTTGATATATGAAATTGACACTCTTGTTCGCATTTTTCAACTTTCAATAGTGTAGGATCTCTTGGGATCACAACTATTTCGGTAATTTACGATTGATGTGATCTGAAATCGATAGAAATTATAAGACGGTTTTGTTAAAACAATAAAAACATGCAACTTTCGAAAAATGAGGTTCTAGATGAGCAAATGTATTCTACTTATCTCCAGGAACACCCTCTCTATTGCACACAATGATTCGTACTCTAGTAAAAATTTGCACATATTTTCAATTCACCGCTTTTCGAAGGGTCAGTGGCAAGTGAAATATGCTAAAGTGTCACAGCATACTTCCGATAGTTGCTGTGGTCTATACACATGGGCCAGCTCTCTGTTACTTTAAAGAACTACGCAGTGACTCCTTCTCTAGAGTAATCTGAAATATTAACGCAAACCAACGACTTTGAAATTTCGACTTTTGTCCAGCTTCTTCGGAATTCGGACCACTGAGCGCACGTGCAGGTCCTATCTGTTTTTGTGTCTCCTTGTGCCTTGTGTAGTGTATTTATGCATAAGAAAATAATTTCCACGAATCTGAGATAAATCACATAGAAGGGAAATATTATATTAATTATCCATTTCAGAAGATGAGAAGGTATTTCATTAAAATTTTTCTGTTAGCCGCCCTTAACATGATAATACTAGCTCGTATACGATAGTACACGTTATTGAAATGCAAATTCCACCACAAGTGGAAGGCCTAGCTGGTCATATTGTAGTTGTTTTTAATAATTTTGATCGCGAACATTTGTTTGCAGAATATACGGTCGTTTTAACCGTGTTAGTAGGTCGTAGCCGCTTTGTTTTTTTGACCGTATTCCATGTGACACCGCTTAAATGGAAAATCTAGCTAGCCATATCGTAGTTGTTTCAACTACCTTGCCCACAAACTTTTTGTTTACCAAATATTTGGGGCAGTATACGGTCGTTTTTACCGTTTTAATAGGGCGTAGCCGCTTGTTTTTTTGCCAGCATTCCATACGACATGTAGAGAGTGGTTTTCACTTCGCTTAATTGGAAAGTCTGTAGCTAGCTATATAGTAGTTGTTTTAACTACTTTGCCCGCAAATATTTTGTTTGCCAAATATTTGGGGCAGTATACGGTCGTTTTGACCGTCTTAACAAGGCGCAGCCGCTTGTTTTTTTGCCCGCATTCCATATGACATGTAGAGAGTGGTTTTCACTTCGCTTAAATGGAAAGTCTATAGCTAGCTATATAGTAGTTGTTTTAACTACCTTGCCCGCAAACATTTTGTTTGCCAAATATTTGGGGCAGTGTACGGTCGTTTTGACCGTCTTAACAGGGCGTAGCCGCTTGGTTTTTTGCCAGCATTCTATGTGACATGTCGAAAGTGGTTTTCACTCCGCTTGAATGGAAAGTCTAGTTAGCTATATCGTAGTTGTCCTTTGCCCGCAAACTTTTTGTTTGCCAATTATTTGGGGCAGTATACGGTCATTTTGAGTGTCTTAATACGGCTTAGCCGTTTTGGCTTTTTTACCCACAGTCCATGGAACATCTAGAGAGTAGTTTTTCAATCCGATAAAATGGAACGTCCAGCTAACCAAATTGCAGATGTTTTAACTAGCTTGACCACTGACAATTTGTTTTCAGAATATTTTGGGGCACTATGTTATCGCCTTAATTCGACTAAATAGGGTGTAGTCTTATTGACTTTTTGCCTGCAATTCATGAAACATATAAAGTGTGGTTTTCACTTCTTTTACATGCAAAGTTTATCTAAGTATTTAGTAGTTATTTTAACCACGTCACCCATAACTTATTTTAGACATTTCTACTGGTATTTTTACCCTCTGCATACCATGGTATACACGTAAAGTGGATTTTTCGTTCTTAAAGCTTCCTATTATCATTTTTTTAAAGAAAAGCCAAATAAATTTGTATGTTAAAATGTGTATAAAATTTTGATTGGAATCTTAGCTGAGCACTTTCGAGTACATAGTCATCATCGGAGCTATTCGTTAAATTTTAGATACCAAAAAATATTTAGGAAACGTTGAAAATCTTAATAAGTTCGACATAACAATACATACATACAACATACATACATACATAACATAACATACAACATTAAATATAACATCAATTACTGGTAAATAACAAAAGAAAGAAACAGAAATTGACTAACAATGTCGAACACGAGGAGTGAAATAAAGTGAGGTCAAATGTTAAAGGATTTTAACATTTCAACATTTCCTAAATATTTTTTGATATCTAAAATTTAACGAATAGCTCCGATGATGACTATGTAGTCGAAAGCGTTCAGCTAAGATTTCAATAAAAATTTTATACACACCTTAACATACAAATTTATTTGGCTTTTCTTTAAATCACCGAAGTGTGTACTCAAGATACAGTCGTTATTTTTTAATATTATCATTTTGCCTTGCTTACATAGCGAAATTTAAATAATCTGCTTAAAGCTACATTTTTTCAGAAGCAGTGAATGTACTGTGTCCCTAAAAAATAATTGTACTTATTTTTATAATGCAATTTTTTTTTAGATAGATCGGAGTTATGTTAACCCTTTCTTTACTCTTACAGAGTCTTACTCAAAATAGTGAGTTAGTAGTACTAGTACTTACCACGCCCTTTTAATTCAAATAAAAAATAGAAATCAACATCCTTTTACAGATGAGAGTGAATTAGGTGCTCAACAAATTCCTGTCGTATTTAGTATGCATGTGTTCCTGGAGATAGTTACGTCATATTAAACAGTGTTAAAGGCAAGTAATAAAATTAAGAAAGTATACCAAAAAACAAGGGGGAGGGGCGAAAATTGTGAGCAGTATGGATAAGAAAAGTGATGTGAAGAAGAGTTTACCGGTAAAAAGAGCCTTTGATGTAGATTAAATGAAATTATTGAAAATAGAGTACATGAAATTTAAAAAGGAGTGCATTGTTTTGTCACTCAGTAGGTACTAGTCTACAATGCAGTTTTGCTAATAACACCTTATATATTTTATTTGATTAAAATAATCTATATAGGTATAGGTGTGTACATATATACGTATGTGTATATATACAAAAAAAGAAAAAAACATTCGATTACTAGGTATGGCACTATCATCAAACATGATGCAACAGAGTGACATGTTATTATAAAAAACTTAATTGAGCAACTCCTCTCTATCTCTCTATAAGTATAAGAAAAAGGCCGATCAGGTTCTTTTTATATACCTACTGTTTCATTTTGACAGTATATGAAAAGATAGCAATTAAAGAGAGGACAAAATTAAGTGATAATAAGGGAACTTTCAATGAAGTATTAGGAAGCAATTACGCCACCTTAAATGAAGTATTAGGTTAGAAGAGGAGTAGCATGATAGTATGAATAAATATGTTAATATTTTTACAATAGCTACAACCAGAGATACAACCTAAGAAGCGTACGAAAGTTATAAAAATTAAAAAATATACACTGTAAG